GGGCCTGGCGCCGGCGCTCACCCCTGTGGGCGGATCCTGCTCAGAGCAGCCAGGACGGTAGAAGGAATGAGCTCTACATGCCTTAAACGTAAGGATATCGCGTCACACCCCCGGCTCAGAGGTGGGGCGGCAGCGGTACACGGCGGCTCCTGTGGCTCTGGGCCCCCCGCTAATTGCAGCGGCAGCCAGGTTGCAAACCCCAGGTGTTGAAGGGCTTAGCGGGGCCCCCAGGCAGCCACAGGGTCCAGAGGAGTCCTGCTCAGAGCAGGGAGGGACCCTCAGGGCCTCGACTCCAGGGAGAGCAGCCCATAGCGGGCTCCACGCACGGGGCTGCTGGTAGCTGAGCCCGGGAAGCGCACCGTGTGGCTGCAAAGCCTGGAACGTGTGCCCTCTGGGACTTGACAGAAATGTGTGCTACCCCCGGGCTGAGGTCCATCAGAGCCCACGGCTGGGCCACCAGACGAGATGGGACCTGAAGGACAGGGTCCTGTCTGCACCCACGGCATCTGCGGGCGCAGGCTCTGTGCTGGGCTGCGGGGTCACGGGGACTGGGGTTCACTGTGGCTTTGGGTCCAATTCCCAGCCAGGCAGGGAGGTGGGCATGTCCTCAGCCCGGGACTTGCTGTGGGAAGCGGGAGGAAGGGAACTGTTGTGCCCAGATTTCAAGATTCCCAAGGGCCCACCAGGGAGCCAGCGAGTCCGATGCAAAAGCAAAGAGTCATTTATTTCAAACCTAGGTTTGGCTCCCCTGCCCCCCCTTACTGGCACAGCAGCAAGTGGCAGAGAGAGAGAACTCTGTGGAGAGAGGTTTTATAGGGGGTTGGGGTAAGGGGAGGAGAAAGGATTGTGGGCCCTGCCGATTGGCCAGGCACAAGTCGGTGTCTTGTCACACAGGATGTGGTCATATCTATGGCGACTTCTCTTGATTGTCATTGGCCAGTTCAAAGAAGTCCTGGGTGTGGCCAGCAGCCGCTTGGCTTCCAGGAAGAAGCCTTGCTGAGCACATGGCCAAGGTAACATGGAAGGCATAGCCCTTACCCTGGGGCAAGGTGGAGGGCGTAGCTCTTACCCCGGGGGCAAAGTGGAGGGCGTAATCCTCGCCCTTTCAGGAACAAATGCCTTAGAAAACAGGGAGAAGGGGTAACTCGGGGTTCCTGCGGACAGGAACTCTGCAGGGGTGCCCGCAGACCAAGGACCCGGAGGAACATTTAAAGCCCCGTGACTGAACACGGGGGAAGGGTCGTCTCGGGAGGAGCTGTAGCTGCAGGCGGAGTGGCTTCACGGTCTGGGGCTGGGACAGGGCGCTGCCCAGGAGGCTGGCAGAGGCAGCGGCTGGGCTGACCAAGCTCCGCCCTCTGTGCCCCCCAGTTGACCTCAGGGACGCCCGGTGGCTCTGGCTTATGGGACGCAGGAGGGAGGGTCTCGCTCAGCAGCCCTGGGCGGGTCCACCCTGAGCCCTGACCCCTCTTCCCTGAAAGTGTCCCTCCTCCCAGGGCCATCCCCCAGCTGGGGTCCTGGACAGAGGGAACAGACCACAGCTGCTAGGCCACCAGGAAATGGGAGTGAGGGTTAGCGTATTAGCCAGAGAGCTGAGTTAATCCTGCTCTCCAGTGTGTGAGACGTTGTCACCATTGGTCCATGCATGGTCCCTCTGGTATCTTATTTTATCCATCCATCATATTGAGCTTATCTACCCACCATCCATCCACCATCCCCCCACCCACCCACCTACCCATCTATCCATCATCCATCCACCCACCCACCATCCATTCACCATCCCCCCACCCACTCACTGCATCTACCCACCTATCCATCCACCCATCCATCCACCCACCCACCACGCATCCACCTATCCACCCAATCCATCCATGCATCTACCCACCCCATCTATCATCCATCCATCCACCCACCCACCATCCATTCACCATCCATCCATTCACCATCCAGCCATTCACCACCCACCCACCT